AGGTACTTTAAGTCAGCCACGTAGGAAGGTGTAGACTTCCTTGTTGGGGTCCTCGGGACGGTAAAAACCAATGAAGGTTGGAGACGATTAGTGACATGGCTCAAAATCGTTCTCAATAGCGGATTCATCCACTCCCTGTGACTTGTGATTTCCAATGAAACTATACTGTTCTTCGTTATTACTATTCCTTTGTGTCACACCTCTGTTTACTCTCTCTATTATGCATTTGTTCTACTTTCTTCTCTTGCTTTGTGTGCTAGATGGAGTGTAACGACGTGAACTGCTGTACATCGGCGCAAAGTTCTATGTTGAAAACAGACAGACAGATAGACTGTCTGATCCCAGTTTGATATCGCTTTCTTCCTTGGGTCTTATCCAATACTGATTGCAGTCATCTGCAAAAGGCCTCCTCCCCAGTGAGAGTGCATTGTTTGTAAGAAGGTAACATTGGACAATTTTAACTTTCGCTCCTTTTCAGTTAAACCTTCATATCATGATCCTGGAGGATATTGTTTCCCACCTCATGAGAGCATTCGATGCTGTTGGTGACACTACGACGGCCATTCTATTACTGTGCTAGTGGTTTTTGTCTGGGTGATCGAACTATATTGTCGACTCCGCAGTTAATAATATAGAGAGCTCACTTCCATAACGACTATTCTCACAGACTGCTAACATCGTTATGCCGTATCTTCATATTTCAGGCAAAATTACTGCTGGTGATCGCACCAACTGTTACTGGAAATATTACCAAGATTAAAACATATCATTGTGTGTAAATACTGATTATAAATACTTTTAAAGTAATACGAATGAAACTTCCAATCGTATAGCAAAGCCAGTACTGTGTACCTCAACTGGGATAATTTCTGGCAACATTTACTACGCCACAATGAGCGAAGTCTTACTCTGCTATACACGACTGATTATCACTTGGAAATGTTAAGGTATTCACATCCTTTAATAATGCATATTTTCAAATGGTCTTCAAAACCAAAATTGAGCTTCCACTCCTAAAAGCGAATAGGGACTTGGAAGTTAACGACAGAAACTGATAGTTGAAACAGCACATTTTCTTCCCCTTATTTATGTCTGGAGATTTGAGGAAATTCGTATTGTCTCCAAAATTTGAGTCTGTGTAAATCGGTAAAAATGTCAGGGACTTTACTATCTAACCTTTGTATCCAGCGATGATCTTACGTTGAGCTGGATGGTGTATATAAATAGGGTGACATTGCTGTAACTGAGTTAATTATCATAATATTGCTATGCTGAGTAATTTTGCATGTTAAATGTGAGAAGTCAGCAGAGACTTTTTACTGATTTACACAGACTCAAATTTTGGAGACAATACGAATTTCCTCAAATCTCCAGACATAAATAAGGGGAAGAAAATGTGCTGTTTCAACTATCAGTTTCTGTCGTTAACTTCCAAGTCCCTATTCGCTTTTAGGAGTGGAAGCTCAATTTTGGTTTTGAAGACCATTTGAAAATATGCATTATTAAAGGATGTGAATACCTTAACATTTCCAAGTGATAATCAGTCGTGTATAGCAGAGTAAGACTTCGCTCATTGTGGCGTAGTAAATGTTGCCAGAAATTATCCCAGTTGAGGTACACAGTACTGGCTTTGCTATACGATTGGAAGTTTCATTCGTATTACTTTAAAAGTATTTATAATCAGTATTTACACACAATGATATGTTTTAATCTTGGTAATATTTCCAGTAACAGTTGGTGCGATCACCAGCAGTAATTTTGCCTGAAATATGAAGATACGGCATAACGACGTTAGCAGTCTGTGAGAATAGTCATTATGGAAGTGAGCTCTCTATATTATTAACTGCGGAGTCGACAATATAGTTCGATCACCCAGACAAAATCCACTAGCACAGTAATAGAATGGCCGTCGTAGTGTCACCAAAAGCATCGAATGCTCTCATGAGGTGGGAAACAATATCCTCCAGGATCATGATATGAAGGTTTAACTGAAAAGGAGCGAAAGTTAAAATTGTCCAATGTTACCTTCTTCACCTAGAAGCAGGACTATATCATCTGCACATTCTAAGTGAACGACATTATTCCCTGGTAACAAGTTGATCCTTGAGTCTCTGAAGTGAGTTAGGGTTGAGTCCATTAGTACATCTATGATGAAGTTGAATAGAAATGGGGATAGTGGGCATCCCTGATGGATATCATATGACAACTCGCCGTAACCCTCAACTGGCTGCTTGAGTTTGAGTAGAGCGCTTTAATCAGTGCATTGTATTTTCTCGTCATTCCCTTTACAGCCAAGCATAGCCAGAGTACCTCTCGGTCGACAGAATTGAATGCCGCCTTTAGGTCAGGAAATATAATGACTGTTGGACACCGGTAGGAATGCCTACGTTCTAGAATCTGTCGGAAGGTGAAGATATGATCAATACACCCTCTTCCTGGTCTAAAGCCTTCCTAGCTCTCTCGTGTTTGTGTCTCCCTAGCACCACTCAGTCTACGCATGATTATTGAGCCTAGGACTTTAGATACTATATTAGTCAAGCTAATCCCTATGTGATTAACACAGGAAAACTTGTCTCCCTTCTTGTATATGGGGATAATCAGTGACTTACACCAACCTGATGGGACTTCTTCTGATTCCCAGACGCTGCCCAGAACCTCACTTAATGCAGACAGTAAACTGTCTCCACCGTACTTAAATACATCTGGAGTCATTCCATCAGGTCCCGCTGTTCTACCTTGTTTCAGATTGGTGACAGCTTTAGAAACCTCAGTTAGGGAAGGAGGACCTGTGTCTATATCCCATTCAGGGAGGTGTTGGATGTTCGGCAGGTTGTGCGTGGCTTTGGGTCAATTAAACTGCTCCTGATAGTGCTCTTTCCAGCGATCCAGTCGTCTATCCTGGGAGCTAATTATGGTGCCATTTTTCTCAGAGATTGTTTCACTTATCATTTGCCTTTCACCTGTTTCCTTGATAAGCCTAAGTAGTTGTCTGGTGTTGCCAGTCGCCGATGCCTTTTTCCATCTCTTTGGCTTTTGTCACCCACCACTGTTCACGGTCATTTCGAAGGCTTCTTGTTAGTTTTCGTTTGAGTAGCTTTCGCCCTCATCATAATCGGAGCTCGCCGGAATCAGTCTTCTTGCGTCAGTAAGTTCGGATGATGAAATTTACTGTCTGGAGCAGACAGTAAGGGAAGAGAACTCATCATGGGTGGAGGGGTGCTCAAAAAATCTGAGGAAAACGCAGAACTCTTAGATGAACTATGAGTCATTAATTACTTTGTGTTTGGAAGGAGTGTATATAAGCATATGTATATCCACAAGATTATGTGGGTCTCACCAGATGGACACAGCAGGAGTCAAAGATTACATCTCAATTTCAAGAAAATGGAGACGCAATCTGCTGGATACACAGTCGAAAAGAGAAATAGACGTGAGCTGATACCATTATTCAGCTTGAAGAAGTTTCAAGACGAAACTGAAAGCCAACAAATGATCTGGAGATAGACTACAATTCAAGTTAAACACCTAGAAACTGAAGGGTTAAACTGTCAAAGACACCTCAACTACATGAATCTGGGAGAGATCGCTGACATTAGGTAACTCAACTGAGGTAGACTGTGTGGAGGAACACTGAAACTGAGAAAAGGATGTGAAAGAGGACCTGTATAGACATCTCAGGCAAGAAAAGGCAGGAGAAGGAGTGGCTTCTTATGAATACCTGGAACCTGACAGTACGGAGAGTGTGGTGAAGCAGATGAATGGAAGCATAGATGAACAACGAAATCAGAGGGTCAGTGGTATATAGAGCGTTGACTGATGGGAATTCTCGTGAAGATACGCTGGTTGATGCAGTCTAAAAATTCAGAATGCTGAACAAAAATAATGGAAAGAGAAGCTACCTGCAACAAAAATAAGCATAAATATAAAATGCTGAATAGACATAGAGGCAATACATTGCAGGCATGATTGATAAAATGCACCAAGGCTCATATGTCACGGCAAAAAGGAAAGAATAAACTATTTTGAAACATTCTGAACTAGTAATTTGGACCGCATACTGCTTACGTACAATGGGGATAAATTTTGGTTGGCTAACAACATACTACACTACATGGACTAGCTGTCAATTTAATAGCACAAGTGAATACCCAGGAATTGCGATAGCAACTATCCAAATCACATTGTTACAAACACCTGTCATAAAAAGTAAAATGTGCATATCCCCCCAAAAACAGGTGTATTCGTGGGCACAACACTACCACCCCCATCGTCCCTATCGCAGAAAGTATTATCAGGCGTAGAAGAGAACCAAATTTTACACTCATTAATATCATTTAAGTAAGTTCAAGTCATAAGAATCGTGTTTACTGCATATGACTGTTCTTCGGTTGAATATATATCGCATTAGGTAAATGCACGCCGCTTTTATAATTTTACACACCTATCAAATCCAACAATATACACCTGGTTTCATCTTTACCAACTGGCCAACGTGACAAAGCAAAAATCACTACCTGGTGATGAACGATGATTAAATTTATTGTATATAAGCTGAGACTTCATAAACCCTGGTTTAGTATTACTTTGATAAAGCTTTTAGCATTAAACAGCGAGACGCCAGTAAAAACAATATCGTTTTCCTTTCCGTTCATTGGGAGTTACAATCTCTTGTAATCATTTACACAATACGTCTATTCAGGAAGGTTTAGCTAACAAGACAAACCATCAGTTAACTTTATCAGCTTGTCAAAATCTCCCAAATGGTGGCGATAGATATCTCGCAGTTACTCATAGCAGATGACATCAACTTGGAAATGTTTCACTGCGAAAATAGACGTTTCAAAGAGAGTAATCACTCGTCAAGCGAACTAGGTCACTTCCTCCAAAACCTACGCATAACCTTAGTACACGCACCGCAATGACAGTCAAGACATCAACCGAAACCATAAACAACATACAGGTACAACATAAAAACGAGGAAATCACTGCACGACATTCTAATATTCGCGTAACGGAGACAGTTAAGAACCGCAAAACGAGCAGAACAAGTATCGAATGATGAAACTTATATTTAATTAAAGATTTCAGAAGGAAAATAAAAGCAAAATTAAAATGTCTCTATTACACATGAAATAAATTAACCACCACGCAGACGGAGAACCAAGTGAAGAGTCGACTCCTTCTGAATATTGTAGTCAGACAATGTTCGACCATCTTCCAGTTGCTTCCCGGCGAAGATTAGACGTTGCTGGTCTGGTGGGATACCTTCTTTATCTTGGATCTTGGCTTTCACATTCTCAATCGTATCACTCGGCTCAACCTCCAAAGTTATCGTCTTACCAGTCAGGGTTTTCACAAATATCTGCATACCACCACGAAGACGGAGAACCAAGTGAAGAGTCGACTCCTTCTGAATATTGTAGTCAGACAATGTTCGACCATCTTCCAGTTGCTTCCCGGCGAAGATTAGACGTTGCTGGTCTGGTGGGATACCTTCTTTATCTTGGATCTTGGCTTTCACATTCTCAATCGTATCACTCGGCTCAACCTCCAAAGTTATCGTCTTACCAGTCAGGGTTTTCACAAATATCTGCATACCACCACGAAGACGGAGAACCAAGTGAAGAGTCGACTCCTTCTGAATATTGTAGTCAGACAATGTTCGACCATCTTCCAGTTGCTTCCCGGCGAAGATTAGACGTTGCTGGTCTGGTGGGATACCTTCTTTATCTTGGATCTTGGCTTTCACATTCTCAATCGTATCACTCGGCTCAACCTCCAAAGTTATCGTCTTACCAGTCAGGGTTTTCACAAATATCTGCATACCACCACGAAGACGGAGAACCAAGTGAAGAGTCGACTCCTTCTGAATATTGTAGTCAGACAATGTTCGACCATCTTCCAGTTGCTTCCCGGCGAAGATTAGACGTTGCTGGTCTGGTGGGATACCTTCTTTATCTTGGATCTTGGCTTTCACATTCTCAATCGTATCACTCGGCTCAACCTCCAAAGTTATCGTCTTACCAGTCAGGGTTTTCACAAATATCTGCATACCACCACGAAGACGGAGAACCAAGTGAAGAGTCGACTCCTTCTGAATATTGTAGTCAGACAATGTTCGACCATCTTCCAGTTGCTTCCCGGCGAAGATTAGACGTTGCTGGTCTGGTGGGATACCTTCTTTATCTTGGATCTTGGCTTTCACATTCTCAATCGTATCACTCGGCTCAACCTCCAAAGTTATCGTCTTACCAGTCAGGGTTTTCACAAATATCTGCATACCACCACGAAGACGGAGAACCAAGTGAAGAGTCGACTCCTTCTGAATATTGTAGTCAGACAATGTTCGACCATCTTCCAGTTGCTTCCCGGCGAAGATTAGACGTTGCTGGTCTGGTGGGATACCTTCTTTATCTTGGATCTTGGCTTTCACATTCTCAATCGTATCACTCGGCTCAACCTCCAAAGTTATCGTCTTACCAGTCAGGGTTTTCACAAATATCTGCATACCACCACGAAGACGGAGAACCAAGTGAAGAGTCGACTCCTTCTGAATATTGTAGTCAGACAATGTTCGACCATCTTCCAGTTGCTTCCCGGCGAAGATTAGACGTTGCTGGTCTGGTGGGATACCTTCTTTATCTTGGATCTTGGCTTTCACATTCTCAATCGTATCACTCGGCTCAACCTCCAAAGTTATCGTCTTACCAGTCAGGGTTTTCACAAATATCTGCATACCACCACGAAGACGGAGAACCAAGTGAAGAGTCGACTCCTTCTGAATATTGTAGTCAGACAATGTTCGACCATCTTCCAGTTGCTTCCCGGCGAAGATTAGACGTTGCTGGTCTGGTGGGATACCTTCTTTATCTTGGATCTTGGCTTTCACATTCTCAATCGTATCACTCGGCTCAACCTCCAAAGTTATCGTCTTACCAGTCAGGGTTTTCACAAATATCTGCATACCACCACGAAGACGGAGAACCAAGTGAAGAGTCGACTCCTTCTGAATATTGTAGTCAGACAATGTTCGACCATCTTCCAGTTGCTTCCCGGCGAAGATTAGACGTTGCTGGTCTGGTGGGATACCTTCTTTATCTTGGATCTTGGCTTTCACATTCTCAATCGTATCACTCGGCTCAACCTCCAAAGTTATCGTCTTACCAGTCAGGGTTTTCACAAATATCTGCATACCACCACGAAGACGGAGAACCAAGTGAAGAGTCGACTCCTTCTGAATATTGTAGTCAGACAATGTTCGACCATCTTCCAGTTGCTTCCCGGCGAAGATTAGACGTTGCTGGTCTGGTGGGATACCTTCTTTATCTTGGATCTTGGCTTTCACATTCTCAATCGTATCACTCGGCTCAACCTCCAAAGTTATCGTCTTACCAGTCAGGGTTTTCACAAATATCTGCATACCACCACGAAGACGGAGAACCAAGTGAAGAGTCGACTCCTTCTGAATATTGTAGTCAGACAATGTTCGACCATCTTCCAGTTGCTTCCCGGCGAAGATTAGACGTTGCTGGTCTGGTGGGATACCTTCTTTATCTTGGATCTTGGCTTTCACATTCTCAATCGTATCACTCGGCTCGACTTCCAGAGTTATTGTCTTGCCAGTTAATGTTTTCACGAAGATCTGCATGTTGCGAAGGTTTGTGCAATAGAAAAGAGAAAATGGAGGCCTAGCAACTAAATGTGTATATATACGTTGTCTTACTGATATGACACGTCATTTTATAAATTGGTGCAGTAAAACAATTTAAAGAGTGGTAATGAGTTTGGATGTTTTGAGGTTATGAAGAATTGAGGTTCTCTATACGTTTGATTTATGAATTATTGACGTTTATTTTCACAAAAAATAAGGATTATTTTGCCTGCTTCCTTACTCCCAAGAACATGATTACACTAGATCTAGTGATGAAGATATTTGTTATAAGACATCCGTGTATTGCATTGCAGTATGCTGTGATGTTGTTTACATTAGCTACTACTGATAGGTGGGCTTCATAAATCAAATTATTTCATCAGCGGCAACATTCAATATCCACGGCTGACCTTAAATATTTCAGCACAGTACATTCTGTGAATACCGTAGACATTCAGTGCTCTAATATTTAACCTCCCGATTGCTACTCATTTTAAGCTGATTTTTCCACATCGTAAGACACACCATTCTGGGAGCCTTCGGCCTACCCACCTTACTGTAAATAAGTCCTCATAAACAGAACTAATTGAGTGGATAAATACCTTGCTTTACATTATTTTTTGACTCTGGCCTCCATAAGTTGGTAAATTTGACAACATTCGATTTCGGCTCATTCCCTCTGATACTTTATTTCATATGCTAGAAGAATGCAAAGTAAACTGTTGACTAATGTTTTAATCTAAGTAGCCGCAAAACCGACTTCTTTGCTTTATCGCTATAGTTGAATATGCATATCTGAAACCTTTGAACAAAGTAAATTTGTCACTTAAGAATACAACACCAGCCACTGTCGTATCACATAAAAATTGTGGTCTCTTATTAAATTCTAGAAATGTTATATTTCGTGGATACTTTATCTTCTGATTTCGACTGTAAATCTTATTTTACGATGGGAACCTCGAAGTCTATGTCAAAAGTCTTCAAATGAGTGTGTTCGCTGGCTTAAACCCCCAATGAATAAGTTGGTTAAGTGCAGGGACTGGAGTTCTCCAGGAAGTCGTTTCTAAAAGTTGACGGTATAACCTTTCAGATTTAATCTGGAATTTGACAAGTGAGTATCAGCTTGTTTCTTTTAGTGAGTGGATCTCAAAAGTTGGCAGCGAAAGTGGTTTCCAAAAATTGAAACATTTCTCGCATTAATCGACCAAACCAACCCAACCGTTTGTAAATTGATGATTTGAGTTCTAAACCTTTACTTCTGTCCTCTACACAACGTATCTCTGAATGCATTAATGTAACCTCGCAATGTGTAACATTAACATAGTGCAACATATTTAGTTGTAATGTGACTACAAAACTTCTTGTTCAGGAAATCACTACGTTAAACCCCTTGGGTTACTTCGCTTCGCACCAAGAAGTTATGGGGTGGACATATCAAACGTGTTGGTTGAAATTTCGCTTAGTAAATATTTTGGAATAAGTTTTAATAAAATTGCGTTATATGACTTCCCGAATGATATCAATTCTCATTTTCTGACAAGTCACGTTGTCAATGTAGTTGAAGATCGAACGATCAATTCATGGTTGTTTGCTCAAAACCAACTTCCCCAATTTTCGCGGAGGCATCAATACGACAGTCATCGTCTCATCGGTCGCTGTTCAGAAAGAAGTCAGGAGACAACCATCAGAAGTAATATTGTGATTTATTATTGTAATATTTGTTCACAGACCTTAGTGGAATTATTTTTTATATGTTGGTGTTACAATAAAGAATTATCGAGTCGCCAAACTGAGTTTTGGTTTTTGCCTCCGTTATTACTAAGCGTTTCTGAAAAACTTCAAGGAATAGCGTGAGCCCGAGCGTAGCAAGAGCTGGGCATTAACGGTTTACGAGACGTGACTGACAGTTTTTGATGGTGAAATCAGTTTCTGACGGGAAAAACAGATTCTGGAAGATTCAGACAGTTGGTGGAAGTTTGGATAGTCACCGTTCATCTTTCCTGGTGCCAGTCAAGTCCTCTTTGAACAAGCAATATCTGGAACGTTTTTGGAATTAAGTCAAGTTCAACAATGCCTGGGTCAAAGAAGGGACAGAGCGTCTTGGATGCAAACAGGAAAGTAAGTCATGGTGACTTGTCTGTTAATTGTAACGATGTGTCTGATGTTAAGCATGACATGGTTGATGTTACTGTTTCGCCGTTCAGGGATAATAGGAACATCAAACTCCATAAGTTTGAACCACGGTGTTTTGATGGAAACCCAGCCGATTATTTACAATTTGTAAAGGAGTTTGAGATCATGTTGAGTAGTTTTTTATTAAGTGATGAACAGAAACTGATGTATTTGTTGACGTATTGCACTGGAGATGCTTCAAGAGCTATACAGTGCTGTAAGCTCATGCCCCCTAATGAGGGATACGCTGAGGCTATGAGCATATTGCGTCAAAGGTTTGGAAGACCTTCAATGATTGTAAGGAACGTATACGAAGCTGTCAAAGGTAACGGCGGTCAACTTCAAGATGACTCCAAGGCACTTACTGAGTTTCTGGATAATCTTATGACTTATAAGAATACCTTGATTTCTATGAATTGCATGAATGACCTCAACTCGAGTTTTATACTAGAAGTAATAGCAAGACGCCTACCTACTCGACTGCAAAGGAAGTGGGTGAAGATAAGCTCCCGTATGGAGGATGAGGGTGTCGAGCCAAAATTTGATGATATCCTGAAACTAGTAAAGGATAGTGTCAATCAATCGATGAGCAAGTTCGCCAGTCTATTACATCTCACCCCTAGAATAGAGCAGTCTGAGAGAAAAATGCAATCATTGATGACGAGTAGGCCTCAGAGAGGTGGATATCGAGAAGGCTCCATGATGTATAGTAATGCATATAGACCTAATGAGTGTAACAGGTTTCGTAGTACATCCTCAACAGATAAGTTGTAAGCTGCAAGACAAACACGGTTGTGTTTTACACGTTTGCAAGAAGTGCATTCAAAGGTGAACTGTGAACCAGTAAGCAAGTTCAGTGATAAGCTATATGTAAACTCCAGGCCTGACTCCGAATTGTGTGACGATAACGGTGCGGTGAAGAAGTCTGTAGTTGCAACTGGTAAGCCATTGTTGAATAGAGTGCCACAGAATAGAGTTGCTGCTTCAGAGTCCAGTTCAGGTTCCACAAGTTTACAAGGTATTACTAGTCAGAGTGAAGTTATAAAACCTTTAAGGATTTGCGAGGAGGAACCAAAATTGTCTACTTCTGTTATCAAAGAGTTTGAAAATGATGAAGTTGACGATAAAGTGAATATTCGTGATAATGATCATGATACTTCACAGTTGTCTTTGGTTGATCATTATGAGATGAGGGATATGCCTACTACTGCTAAGTTGAATATAGGTTCAGTAAAACTTGAACGTAAAGTAGAAATAAATGCAGGTGCGGTTGCATCAGGCATGCATACTTGTGAGACCGTCAGCGTGATTGATCAGCATGTAGCCCACCTATCATCAGATGATAGTGCTAAACCCGAACTAGTGGTGAAAGACAGCAGTGGTGGAAATCTTGCAGTTAGACAACTATCTGAAAGCCCAAAAAGAACAGCTTCTGATCCACCGCTAACTTCATCAACTGGTATCAATCAGTCGTCGTTGGTGATGTCATCCACAATGAAGAAGACGCCCATCAACTCAAGTATCTTGTACAATGACTTTGATAGTATTGGTGCATTTGAAAGGACGAAAGATATTGCTCAGTTTAGACAGGATAAGCCAAGTGTAAACGAGAGAGTAATTGTTAAATTGACTTGCATGAATAAAGGCATTTCTAGTTTCAAGTTACTATTTGAATGTTATTATCTTTGGTGTAAATTACTCTGTTTCTACGCTTGGTTGACCAGATACGTCGTGTGTTTGTTGGTCATCTATATTCTACGATACAATGACATGGGCGTGTTGCCGTTCAGATTTGAGGATATAGCTCATAGAAGGAAGTTTGCAAATGAACTCTGCGACGATTTTCCAACCTAGAGCGTCAACCTGAGAAGGGTTGTAGGCGTACTGCTGTAAGTCCTACAATTCTTCAAAGGGTAGCGCATCAATGAGCAGTCCAATGTGCTTGGTGTGTGATTTTGTACATATGTTGATATTGTATATACTGAATTGGTATCATTTATCATCTAGCTGTTGGTAATTCTGTTTGTGTCCGGACGACTTCCACTTGGATCATCAACCTGAGAAGGAATGTAGGCGTACTGCTGTAAGTCCTACAGTTCTTCAAGGGTAGTTTGTCGTGCCAGAATCCACAACATTTGATGTGTTGATTGTACATATGTTTGTGTTAAATAATTGTGTGAGTTCCAATTATTGTAATTGTTGGTTAATCTTGTTTGTGTCCGGACATTCCACAAATTACAATCGTCAACCTGAGAAGGGTTGTAGGCGTACTGGTGTAAGTCCTGCGATTCTTCAAAGGAATTCCATCAAGACATGATCCGCGAGTTTTGTGTACTGTTTGTATATACGTGTGGTGTGTCATATCAATTGGTGTTTTTTGGATTCATTGTGTTTACTTGTTGTTTTCGTATCTTGTTGTTATTGCGTAATTTTGTTAAAATTTTCGTCGTGATTACTTCTGAAGTTGTTTCCAGTCTTCTACATCCGTGAATGAATTGATTGATGTTAGAGACAGCAGATGGGTCGTATACGCCGGGGAGGCTAGGCTATTGCTGAGAATGAAATGCACACGGAGATAATTGTTAGCTGCGGTCCGACACGCCGGGGAGAAAGAGTGTAAACGACTGAGGCTCGCATACGTCACCGTTACTAGAACTGAGGCAGAATGAGTGACAAGCGATTTCAGTGGTAATTGGTAGTGAGTAGATAAGAGGATGAGCGTAGAGTATCGTGAAGTGGTGCTATGGTCACGTTGCATTCTGCAAGAGTCATTCTAGCAAGTGGCGATTGTGTTGCAAGAGGATGCCTTTAACTGGAAGGCGCAGGTCGTCATTCATGTGTGAGATTGTGCTGTGGGTATGCTTGTGGTGTGTTGGCTTTTCTGTTTGTTTTCCATTTCAGCTCTGTCCGTGTGACCCAGGTTCTCGCAATGGCATCCAAGTCAACGTGTATTGGTCGTGATGGAAAAAAGGAATAGATCCTTTTTTGCCGGGGAGTGTCAATGTAGTTGAAGATTGAACGATCAATTCATGGTTGTTTGCTCAAAACCAACTTCCCCAATTTTCGCGGAGGCATCAATACGACAGTCATCGTCTCATCGGTCGCTGTTCAGAAAGAAGTCAGGAGACAACCATCAGAAGTAATATTGTGATTTATTATTGTAATATTTGTTCACAGACCTTAGTGGAATTATTTTTTATATGTTGGTGTTACAATAAAGAATTATCGAGTCGCCAAACTGAGTTTTGGTTTTTGCGTCCGTTATTA